ACTTGTATGATCTTATTGCCCGAGAACCATTTTCCAGAACCTCTGTGAGAGACATCAGAAGTTCTGTTACATTTTACTTGCACGATGAAACAGCTTCTGTTGCTAGTCCTCTGTTGTCTTCTGTGGAAGATACCCTTCTGTCAACACTTGCATAATACTTTTTCATACTTTTACAAGAAGTGAATATTAGAGCTAACACATGTGTGTCTTACCGGTTTATCCTATGTGATGATTATTGGTTTCAAGTGTTCTTGAGTTCTTATAAAATAGTATCGTTCTCGTTTGAACCCTTCCCTAAATCCCTATTGCTCATTACTGTAAAATGTATATTCGGACAATAATTGGTTACGGACTTGACTGAGTTACATGATCGGTTTATCATTCAAAACCAAAATGGTCCACAACTGGGACTCCATAAGCAGCTAAATAACCGGGTTTATTTGGATAGTTACGACTAAATTCAAGACATTTCTTCGCCAAAGTAAGAACTTCCCTACATCATTGAGGAAAAAGTCGACAAAGAAACCCACTAACATGGGATGGCGAAATTACAAGTTTCTGTTTAAAACAAGAACTTTTGAAGAATCATATGTTGATGATATTTATTAGGCGTTTTCATTTATTTTTAAAAATCGATCTTTAAAGTTTACTTTTTTTGTTAATTTATTAATTGTAAGGTATTTATTAGAGCAAATTATGTTTTTAGGGACTGTTTGAAAGTTATTGAATGGTTTGGTACATAATGATTAAGTGATCAGAATAATTAAGAGACTCTCATGATATAGTGCAAAATGAAATATAGTTATTTGATAATTGTTTACGATGAAATTATGACGCTTAATGATTAAGGGAGACCCAAGATACAGAATCATTCAAAGAGTTTTAAAATCATTAAGAGACAGACTTTTTTTTAAATAAACAAGATCCACCTCTTAAGGATTCAGAGTCTGTCTCCTAATGAAACTATTAAGAAGTAAACAAACAAACCTCTCTATTTTAAAATTACAATTTTCATCCCTTTGTTTATAATTCATTACCTATTTTGTCCTTATGATTTAATATTTATTGCTTTTTACATTCCTATAGTTTACAATTCGTTTTTATTTTGATCATTCATACTTAAAAGTGGTGTTTTGACCTCAAGAACAAAAAAAGAAATAAATTGCAATCTATATGGATGAAAACTAAAATTAACCACAGGGACAAAATCCAAAACTTCACAAACCACAAGGACAAAAAACGTAATTTAGTTTATTTATTATTTATATAGAGCCAGGTAAGAAGTATAAGAAGGGATCTCCATCTACGGATAAAATGCACCAAATCAATTCCCATGAGAAACGCACTTCACGAGTGGGCAAATAATCAAGGGTCCAGATTCCTTCTTAAACTTTTCACCTTAATTCTCCTTCTCACACAATCTTTCGCCTATTTATATATGCCAAAAAAGTCGACCCCGGTTCATCAGTTACACCAGGTACAATCTGTCGAGATATTTCGAAACCATAACCGGTTTGCCCATGTCAACCATTACTGGTTTTGTTGCTAAGTTAAAGACCCCATACAATGTCGGAGGTGGGCTGGGCACAAGCAAAAACATACAAGTTGTCTTTAATAATGCAATGCATAACTTCCAACAAACAATGTGCCATTACATTTTGTTTTAACTGGCGAAATCCGAAGCAAGTTGAAAATGAGCGAGGAGAAGTACATATCGTCTCTTTTTTTTTAATCAGTGATCCTCGATCTTCTTCAACCCCTTCATATCCGTTGTTTCCACACTGCATCATTTCCACAGTTACCAAATTTTAACAAACTTTTACAAAGTTAGATGAGGAAAAACGGGCATTAGAAACTCACGTTGTTCCTTGCAGAATCATCTTTTGGACTTTCGTAATGTCAGAACCAGACTGATTGTCCTCGATAAATATTGTCAAGCTGAATTCAAATCAACTTTTGTTAGCCTCTTATCGCTTATTAGAACACATTACTCATCGATACATATAGAGGCTTAAGCATTTGAGAACTCCAAAATTTATGAGAACCCTGAGAACTTCTACCTTAAAGCTTTGTTTAACATAATTTTTTTTCCATCTAAGTATATTGATTAACATATATTTATTTCAGAATATGTTTGTCTCACATGTATTCGTTTCACAATGTGAAACTCTTTTACATGTATTCTTTGTTTCAAAAACACGCCAAAAAGGTCCACATTGTGAAACAAATATATGTTAATCGATATTCTATAACCTAGTCTTAAATGAAAAAAAAAATCATATGAAATTGCACATGATGCACTAGTTCTCAAGATTATCAGAATTTCATGGGTTTTCAAAAGGTCCCCTGTATATAAATGAGGAATTACCTGCGAACATTTTGAAACTTAACATACTTCAAGATGACAGGCTTTCCCTAAAAAGGAGAAAAAAACCAAAGATGTATAATAAACCCATCATTCAGATGATACAAGAAAACCAGAAGAAGAAGAAGAAGAAGAGGATTACCTTGAGATTCTCGGGGGATAAAACAAGTGTGTCACTGGGAGGAAAGTCGCTAACGTTACTGCACATATATACACACATATGCCGATCACAAACTCCTAATAATAGAAAAAGAAGAGAATATTAACAAGTTTACCTGAATCCCATATGTTCCTTATTTGTATAAAGCTTTACGGTTTGAGGACCTGCAAAACAATTATAAAAAAACTCACTTCTGAAACGAAACAAAGCTCGTATTCCTTTGCAATTAGAACAAATATTACAAAAAAGGTGGAAGTTGAACTCTCAATAATGCATACATCAAATTTCAATTAACAAGGGTCTACAAGAAGTCTTGATAATTTATCACTTTATCAATTTCTGCATGTTTCACTTTTATCACCATCTTTTACTTCATCCTCCTATTCCTCATTTCTAAAATACTGAGCTTTAACCTACAGACTATAAGAGTTTTTTTTAATCAAAGATGTTATTCACTTATGTTATCTTATAGAGGCTTGTTTTTATGGATTTTCAGCATATCAAAATTTGCTTGCATACATCTCTATCACTACCATATTGTTTGCACATGTAAGGTCTCCCTTTGGAAACTTTCTATTTTGAGTTCAAAATAAATGCTATGCTCCCATTTTTGAAAAGATCTGTTTCCAAATTTAATCTTCGGCCATTAGCAATTGTTGCAAGATATTGGTGAGATTGATTGTGAACCACAAGTTCTCTTACGGGTCGTTCACTAAACACTTGCCGGATAAGCGCTTACCGATATCACTTACCTTACCATTGAGCATAGCTAAGACCAAAATCTTACCCAGTAAGAGGCATAGCAAGGACCGAGAGTCTGACCTGGTAAGTGAGGGAAAAGGCTCTTACCTGGTAAGCGCTTACCGGATTTAAGACGCTTACCGGAAATTCATTTTGATGGTCGAGAATGTGACACGATAAGGTAAGATTTATGTCTCTTGCTGGTAAGCAATTGTTAAACAGCCCTTAGTTTTGTATTATAAAGAGGTACTTAAGTTATAGTTGCAAACTTTATATAACAAGCCATGTCTCATGTCAAATGATACATTCTCGTTGTCACAGAGTAGCATATGCATACATGAAGCTATGACGCCATTAGCAACTACAATCATGATATTATTATTCGTTGACCAAAATAGTGATCTCAAACAAGATATTAAATAAGTTCTACCACCACTTTCGACATGAAGAACCAAACTGGTATCTAACAAATTCCTTCAAGACATTTTTACACTTGCACTCTGCTTTGCCTCCCCCTCCATCTTTTCTTCTAAACTCTGACTTTGTCTAGAAGTTTTTGGTTTGCATCCGTGATAAATCTGATGTAAATTAGGTCCGTAATTACCCTTTTCTCTATCTTTGCCAACTTGCATAAATCATTATAGATGTGGACATGAAGTAGAATGCAGTTGGGTAGCTCGAATATAGGATTGTTGTCAAGGAAGTTCAGCTCGAATATAGGATTGTTATCAAGGAAGTTCAGGTGATTCATGATAGAATGAGAGTCAATATGCAACATTAACAAAACTAATTCTAGACCCACAATACTAATTTCATAAATCATGAAAGAAATGTAAAAATAACTTGTGAGGTACATATAGATATATAGCCAAGGTTTTGAAGAATGAAAACAAGCCTCGAGGCAATTTCCCCTTAGGTACATGAGGCGTAAGCCTAGAGCATTCTGAGGCGTAAGCCCCAGAAAATAAAGCAATAATTTCATAAATTCATAACCCTTAGCAAAAAAAAAACATAATTCCATATTTCCATACCAAATAACCAAATCATGAAATCCATCATAATTTATAAAACTACAAGTCATAAGTCTTAAAAACGTCAACTAAATTAATTAATTGTAGTAATAAGTTCATGAAATACAATCAAATTGCATAGCTCCACCATCAAGCAGAAACTCAAACAAAATACAAGCATAAAGCAAAAGTTTTAAACGAATAACAGAAGTAAATAGACAACCTCAAGGCATGATTTTTGAACGCTAAACCATTTATATAACATAAAGCAATTTTGGTGACAATCACAATGTTGTTTTGTCCAATTAGTCGTCCTTCTTTGTGACTTCACCAAATAGCATTACAAAACTAGGGTCGGGTACTAGTGAGAATGAGAGTATGAGAAGGGTAAGAAGGGGTCTCCACGTTTGGATCAATCCTAATTGAAGAGTTCCACTAGATCAACACTAATGAGAAGCACTAGATAAATTCCCTTCTAAAGCGCAATTCATGGGTTGGTTTGAGTTTAAAAGCGATCAAGGGTCCAAATCCCTTCTTCCCCTTCTCACCTTAACTCCAATTCTCACACGATCTTTCGTCTTCAACACTAATCATGTGGCAATTATTAAGCAGTAGGTCCATAAAAACAGAACACAAGTCCACAAAAATAACTGAGAACATATTTTAAAGTAACTTGGTCAAATATATTTAGTGGCATATGCTGATACAAGAGGGATTCAGCGGTGCAAGAGTGACCAGTCAATAGCGACTTAGACAGGATTATGATTTGTCAATGGGACCCGTCTACAGCTTAATGAATTGACCAGGTCACACAGTGAAACACAAGATCAGAAGACTTTGACAAGATGATCGGAGAAGGTTATAGTACATTTTTCTAGCAAAAGATAATATATAAAGTATTGTAACTTTCTAAACTTGGAGTATTTAAACCAAAACTTTGAAACAACTATACAAAAGCCCCATCATCTACAAATATTCAAACCTTTCCACTACACATAGTTGTGATCCCAATTCTTGACATGATTGACAGTTCTGTGGAAGTCAAGATTAGTGAGAACCTTGTAATTGTATAAGATCCCTTGTGGTCATGCACGTTAAAAACGGTATAGGCTCTGAAAGAATCCATGTACAGCTTTTATGTGTGAAGTATTATCTAGAAGAAGAATAACTATTAATTTTCTTAATAGCTTATTGTTTGATGGTTATGAACTCTTCATTTAGAATAAGTGAGAGACACTAAGGGGCCATTTACCAAACGCAAGAGTTACCACTCTCATTTACCTTATGGGGTAACATTCCCAGCCATCAAAATGAATTAATGGCAAGCATTTATAACCCAGTAAGTACTTACCGCGTAAGAGTCATCACTCTCACTTACCGGGTAAGACTCTTGATCCTTGCCTTTCCTATTACGGGATAAGATTCTTGATTCTTGTTATATTCACCCGATAAAGTAATTGAATAGATAAGCGCTTACCAAGGTAAGTGTTCAGTAAACAGCTCTTAAGTAACCATTAGTAGAAATGGGCACAGACCGGTCTGAAACACATCCTAATAAGTCTGTCTGGTCAACGATCAAGTCAGATCGGTCCACAAAAACCCGGACCACTCCATCTCAAAAAATAGGTTTGTCCAGCCTGATGACATCATGGTTCGATCCGGACCAAATGGTCTGGTTCTTATGCCCATCTCTAATAGCTATCAAAAGTCGCCAAGATGGATTTTTTCCTCATCATGAAGGGGATTTGTGAGGCGCATATAGATTGAAGTGTCATATTTAAGTGCATAAACATGTTCATTTTAATGTGTATTAGGTGCAAAATGTCTCATTGGGTACAGCAATTTCGTAGCATCAAATTTGCACATAGCCCACATGTATATACATAGAATATGATGAAGCATGAAAATTAAATTATCAAAATATGCAAGCTCATACCCAAATAACTAGGGCCCGTTTGGTTTTGCGAGATTTGTTGGTTTTTGATGGAATTTGGAATTGGATTCCATTCCAATCCCTCCTTTGCTTTCAAGAAAAGTCCATATGATTTGTTTGTAATAATGTTTTAAAATATATTAAAAACACTTGTTTTGTAATAATGAATTAATGAAAAGGTAATTTAATTATTTGTATAATTTTTTATAATTTGTTTTTATAGATTACTCATAAAGGATGTAATTCAATTCCATTCCAAATACTACAAAACAAACACACCAAAGATTCCAAATCCTTCCACAAAATCCAAATCTCTCGAAAACATTCCGTCAAACCAACAGGCCCTTGATGTATTTGCTATCAAGCCCGATGTTGTATCTTAACAAAGCCTACACAAGACAAGAATCCTAGAAATATTGAGAAAAACTACACAAGAAACAGAAAGACAGGGGAGAGATGACACAGAAGGCATAACAGCTAGCAAAAAAAATAAACATGGAAGACAAGTACGTATAAGCATGAAAAAAGAAAAATCAGACAGCAGCAGTAAGAAGTTGCAGAAGGGAGCCAAAGGCGATGGCTAGGGCACAAATGACAATACAAATGATCAAAGTTTAAACAAAATCTTAAAGACAAAAGGAAAATTAATGAATGATGCATTAAATATTAATGAATAATGTATTAATTCAATTAAAGGTTGCGGCCCTACATAATACATAATTATATATGTGTGTGTGTGTGTCTAGTACGGTGTAAACCTTGTTTCATAGTTCAAAACTGCAAACTACACCACAAAGTGCGGATTGATAAACACGCAAACCACGCAGTGTGGGCGTTTTGGCCGTTCAGATGAACACCCCTCTCATACCGCACAACAGTTTGCAGTGTGGTTTCTTGGGGTTTGAGGCACAAACGCTGCAGTATGCAGTTTAGGAAAATGATAAAACCTCATATGCGCTGTGGTTTGGTCCTAAACCACACTGCACCGCAAACACACTATATGAACCACAAGGTGGATAACTACTATGAGGTCAGATCTGATAGCAACAAGCCAGAAAAACCAAATACACAGTTAAGCAGGCAGTAAGAGGCAGCAACGGTGAAACCAACAAAGAGCAATTAGCGCATGGAATGAACAAGTAAAGTCAAACAAGAGCAAGGGTTTGGGCCAAAAACACTTCCAGCAAAGTCATAGAAGGTGCGCGTAAACTGGCACTGATACCCACGGTTACCCAAAAAAAGGTCGAGGAAGCTTCCATCAAAGAGTCAAGGAACACAGAAAAAGCTGTCAACTGCTGTTCTTCAAACAAGCACGTGAAGCTCTGAGGCTCACAAAGGCACAATGAGGTATGATCAGTCATCATGGGATTGAGACTTAAAAAGGGAATGGAGCTTATGAATGAATCAAAATAGGGCAGAAACACAAGATGTGTGTAAAACAAGAAAATAAAACAATTTGTCAACCGCTAGATGCCAACAGCAACATAGAAGAAACCTTTGGCCAGCAGTTTGTGGTGAATGATTTAAGGGCTTGGTTGTGCTTCCCAAAATTTTAGCTCCGATACCATTGTTACTTGGGGGGAAATGTAAATAATACAGTAGATAAGATGGTTGGCCAAGTCTCTTAAACATACAAATACCAACCAATTTTTCTTTTTTTCCCTTGAATGGGACAAAACTTTGATTTTAGTTCTATCTGCTAACACGTAAGATTAGCAGCTAGCCACAATTTTAAATCTTCTTTGACTAAAATACGATAAAGCAGTGGCAATGCCTAGGCAGAAAGCCAGACACACTACCTTTCATATAAGGAATGTTTGTATCGAATTGCCTACATAACTTCCATTATCATTTTATTGAACTAGATAGGTAGTTAGCTACAGAGTACAACAAATCATGTTGTATTTGTATTAATTATGATTAAAAAGAGGATGAACAAGAGAAGAAAAAGAACACAGAGGCAAGAAGAGAGTTTGGTAATTTACCTTCCTCCTCAGGTCCTTTAATCACAATAGAATGCAGTTTGATAACTTGGGTGAATGGTATGTAAATCAAAAGTTGCTCATCTGCATCACTCTCCAGATTTAGACCTTCATCTTCTCTATAACCCTGTTCCACAAATAAAAACATTCTAACTGTTAGAGCTAAAAGATCACGAAAACGGATAAATAAGAATGCACAAGGACAAAAAATATCACTCTAAAAGTAAAGGGACACATATGGTGCCTAATCATAAGACCAACTTTTCTTGTCATGTGGTATCAACACCATGGGTCCCCCTAATCCGTGGGGTTTATGTTCACCCCTCCACATTATCGGGCAGATCTCCTCCCTTCCGTGAGTCGGACCTGGCCCATGCCTCTAGGGATTCGAACTTGTGTCTCCTTGTTAAGGCACTAGGACAATGACGAATGTGGCCCCCTAGGAGGGCTTCATATGACTTACTTTATGCTCCCTAAGTGTATATATTTAATTCATATACACTTATTAATGATACATGCAATCTTAGTTGTACTACATTAGAGTAGGATTATCTTGTATCTTTTTCTATTATAGACATCGACTTTCATGTCTGGGAAAAAAGACTGTCCAGTACAAGTACAGGAAAATACTCACCAAAACTCATATTAATAGTTGTTTAAGCAACAAAGCACCATGCTCCACATGAACCATTTCCAATATTGCCACAAAGAAAAACTCTTCTTCCCACCCCAACACACCAAATTAATATTGTCATATTAACTCGAGGAACTACTTTCCAGAATGATGCTTTCCTATGTCATCCAAAGATTTGCTACTCTATTGACATAATTTGTGTCACACAACTTCCTGATGCATCCATACCAACTACATCTCTACACCTGAATCTCATTACGCTACTATCTGTAAGTTTGATCCACTGTGAAGAAGTTACGTTACTAGTAATTTGAATGAAGCCCGTTTATTAGTTAAATGCCCTTGAGTCCACTTTGTCAATCTCCTGCCAATGTTGATCTCATCCATTCACATAGAACTTCGAAACTCCAAACTTTAAATGGATTGTACATCATTAATCTATCACAATAATGAACACATATATGCAGAATGGCCTATCTCCTATAATACTTCAAAGTCTATGTCTTTATAAGGAGAGCGATCAATCATGCAGTCATGCCAGGGCTCTAGAGGTGAGAAATTTTATTGGCATATACGTGTTTATGTTATGCTTTTCTGAGAAGTTATTCTTATTATCATCATTTATTTGGTTCTGAAGTGTATGGTGTATTTGGCTTGCTCAGCCTATTACGCCAGTATCTTTTGTTGTATTTTTGATCTTCTGTGGTAAAAATTTGTTTTTATCAAGTGCTTTAGTTTGAACTTGGTGCATTTGAGGGTTTCTTAACATGATTATTTTGATTGTAATCAACAAATATTAGAGATGCATATAATTTTCAACATGTCGGTTTATAATGTGAGCTTGCCACTCTGTGAACCAAAGATCAAGATGATAACACCTCTAAAATGGCATTAAAGTGACATGATGTCATTTTTATCGAAGTAATAGCATCACATAGTTGCGAATTTGGCATCCATGCAACAAATACTAGACTAATGACAATACCCAAGTCAACGATAGCTAGACATAAAAGGTACTTAGTTTTAGAAAATAGAAAATAACAAGACAAATTTCATCTTAGTTTTAGAAAATAGAAAATAACCAGACAAATTTCATCCATCATAAGTGTAATATTCGGGTTACAAGTTTTATTTTGAGATTTTTGGAATATATATATATATATATATATATATCTATGGATATATATATATATATATATATATGTGTGTGTGAAGATTGATGTGTGGGTGGGGAAGGTTATAGCCGACTTTTTAAAAGACGGTTATGGCACTTGCTATTGAAAAAGAAAAGCTTCTTTTTGGCTAATTTTAGAAGAAAATCGGAGGGAGAAAAGAGTGAAAAGAAGCCACAGTTAATTGAAGTCAAAATTCAAAATCAAAGGTGAGTGTTTTATGCTTTGAGTATTTTAAGATTTGCATACAATTCATTTCTATTGAACTGCTTTACTATGAATCTCAATATATCTAAATACCTTGCGGTTTCGACTGTTAAACCGGATATGTATTGCCCGGAGTTCTACTTAAACCGGACAAGGGACGTCCGGATTAGTACCTAAACCGCTCAAAGGTTAGTCGGGTATCCTCTAAACCGGACAAAGGGTGATCGGATATCTCCTAAACCGGGTAAAGGGTGACCAGATATCCCATTAACCGGACAAGTATCAACTGGGGTTCTACCTAAACCGCTCAAAGATTTCCAAGTGTTGTCCGGATTCCATATCCGGGTAGTGTTGTCCGGATTTCAAATCCGGTGGATGATTGATTAGACTCTATTTTGAATTAAAGTTCTTATCTTTGTAATGGCGGTGTAACCGCGAGAGAGATGTGATGGCAGTGTAACCGCGAGAGAGATGTGATGGCGGTGTAACACCGAGAGAGATGTAATGGAGGAGTAACCGCGAGAGGAAAAGAATCTATATGAATATAGATAAAACGTTTATGTCTGTACAGGTTTGATTCTAAACTGCTAGTTTGGAAAGTATGTTATTATATGAGATTTGTACACTCACTAGACCATTTGGGTCTAATGCTCAGTTGTTGAACTAACCTGTTTGCAGGTAATCGAACCTCGCAGGATAAGGGCAAGGGGAAAGTTTAGAAATGATAAAATTTAGTTGTTCCCAAATGTATTGAAGAAAGTTTTTGTAAATTCATGTTTTGTAACAATACTATATTTTGTTTTATGAGTATATGTATGTGGATTATCTGTACTTGGAGTTTGTGAGTTGTTACAGTTGGTATCAGAGCCTTAGTTTAAGGGATCTGGGTATTTGCGAAATACTTAGACTTAAACTAGAGGTGTGGAAGTTATGATAATAGGTTTCACTGGGTCTATGAACATGGAAATATGTTATAGTTGAACCTATTATGAGAAAGATAGATTATATATGACTGATATAATCTGAGTTATGGATAGACTTGAGGATAAATGTGTTATCATATTTTGATTATGAGAATAATCATGTGTTTAAATGTGACAGAAAAAGTTATACACTGAGAAATGGCAGATAATCCCAATCAATCAGAAAGGACCTCTACTGGTTATGGAAGAGGTCGGGGAAGAAGAAATGTGACTCAAGGGGAAGACCTGGAAAATGTGATGACGATTGAAACACGAAGTCGCAGCAGGGGTCGAGGAAGAGGTAGAGGTGCTAAACAAGAAACTCATGGGGAACAGGAATTGTGGCCCAAGAAAGTTCAATGTCTGGCCGTGGTAGAGGAAGAGCAAGGGGTGGACACAATATTTTTGACCCCGGATTTATTACTTAAGAAATGCTGGCAGCTGAATTAGGAAAGTTTCAAGAGAGCTTGGTAAATTTGTTGGGACGTTCGGTTCCAAATATTAAGATGATTTTTGCCTGTAAACCTCCCAAGTTTTCTGGTGAGCGTGATCCTGTTAAAGCCATGTGTTGGCTTAAAGAAATTGAGCCGAGTCTGCAGGTTAGTAAAAGTGCAGAAGAAGATAAAGTCATGTTTGTTGTATCTCGTTTAAGATCAAGTGCTTTATACTAGTGGAAAGTTCTATCAAGTTCAAATCCCAACATTTTGAAAACCATGCTGTGGGAAGAATTTGTGATCAAGTTTAAAATGCAGTATTGTCCTGAAGCGGCAGTGCGAAAGTTAGAAGATGATTTCCTTCGTCTTGAACAAGGAAACATGTCAGTCCGCCAGTATACGGAAGTCTTTATGGAACAATCCCGATTCGCTGAAGCTTTCATTATATCGGAAAACAGTAAAGTAAGAAAGTACATCTGGGGTTTAGAATCTAATCTCCGGAAGTATGTGATATCCAGGAATCCGACAACATTCCAAGCGGCAGTTGATGCTGCTGAAATACTGGAGCAAGACATTAACAGACAACCACAAGAAAAGGTTGGAGAGAAGAAAAAGGGAAGCTACAATGACTGATTTCCGTAGACCGAGGTTTATAGAAAATTTGAATCGACCAGTTTCAAGGTTTGCGGATAAAGCATGTACCCGATGTCATAAAATACATCAGAAAATTGCAATACAGAATCTCGAGTATGTTTAAATGTCAGGAACCAGGTCATATAGCTCGAGATTGTCGGATGACGCGAAGGTGTTTTACTTGTAATTCATCTCAACATATAAATGCCGATTGTTCGCAAGCAAAAGGTCGAGGGTCTGGTTTTGTTGGAGGACGTGGATCTGGATATTCTGGGGGCCAAGGACCTGGTTATGTGCCAACAGGTCGTGGACAAATGGATAATCGTGTTAATTCAAGTGGTCGAGGAGAGATAAGACGTGGGGAGTCTGCGAGAGGGAGAGCCTTTCAGATGACGAGAGGCGAGGCGGAAGAGCACCCTGAAGTAGTAACAGGTACATTCCTCATTAATTCAGTATGTGCCAAAGTTTTATTTGATTCGGGTGCAAATCGTTCTTTTGTGTCACCGTCGTTTGTTAACTGCGCACATTTAGAATCTAGTGTTAAGTGAGGATCTAATTGTGGAAACAACAAACGATAGTGAAGTTTTGGTTAAGGAAAGAATAGATGAGTGTTTTATAAATATAGAAGGATGTGAGGTGCCTATACAACTATTTCCTTTGCCTTTAAGGGAATTTGATATAATTATAGGCATGGATTGGTTAGCTAAAAACCAAGCCAATATAGTCTGTGATGAAAAGATGATTCATATAGACTTACCGGAAAAAGGAAGGGTTGTGATTTACGGGGATCAACGAGATCGTTATTCTAGCCTTATCTTAGTTTTAAAGGCTCGAAAATATGTACAAAAGGGATGTGTTAGTTTTCTTGCATATGTTATAGATATGAGGAAAGACAAAGAAGAGATGAAAGATATCCCAGTTGTGAGGGAATTTCCAGAAGTATTTCCAGAAGATTTGATAAGCTTACCTCTAGATAGAACAATTGAGTTTCAAATAGAACTACTTCCTGAAGCAGCACCTGTTGCGCGTGCACCATATAGATTAGCTCCTTCTGAATTAAAGGAGTTAATGTCGCAATTGAAGGA